TCTGCCGCCAAATGCTGATTACAAAATGTTTAGCGCCCCAGAAATTTGCTTCGGAAAAGCGGCTCGGGTGCCTGAAAAGAATGGTTTTTCTTTCGTCTCTGGACATTAATTGTTCTCTGTATGATTACCTGTGCATGTATACAAGTTCTACCTTGAGACTAGCAAGTTATCGCGAGGATTGTCAGTCTGAGCTCCGTCGAGTGTCGAGGTGGTTTTACCGACAGCATAACGGCGCTTCTTTATTCAATCAAACAATTAGTGCGGCTTTTCTATCGGGACCTTGATGCGAGATGAGCTCAATCCCGATGTTTTCCTCTTTCCTGCAAGGATTTTAGATAATCCGAATGTTCTGGTACTGAATTAGGTGAGCAAAGGCCACACATCCATTATTTAATCACTATTCTCGTCTTATAGTGCAATCACATAACGTCCGAGTCTTCAAAATTTTCTTGAATCATTGGGTTGAAGCTCGAATAAAAATGAACGCATTTTCTCGAAAAAATGAACGTCAATGCCTACATCGTCAGAGAATGAGCTATGGTAAATGTCCTTCTTGCAAAATTCAACCCGTTTCACATATGTAGAATTTTCAACTGCAAGACGCACAAGCAAAGTGGATAAACTAGCGAAGGTGCTCATAGCGAGAATTTATGAAAAGAGATTGTTATTTAATACTGGACGAGTCACTGGCTTTAAATCTTCAAGACCTTATTCCGCCTGCAAATGTTCTCAAGAATAAGTCGGCATCGTCCCAATGCAGCTGAACCAAAGGGGCTGAGTAAAATAACGTCCAGCGAGAAGAAAAATACGAGTCTAGCTTACAAAATGGTTTGCGCCTGCGACGAGGATGAACTTCAGTGGGCGAACTTTCAGGCCCTCTGCCTCCCACCTTTTGTAGTCTTTTTCGAGCTCCCAAATCCCCCACTGGACACTCCAGACCGACGCGAAGCCATACACGTTTCGCACTTTTATCTTAGGAAGCAGAGATGTAAGTCCAATTTCCGTGTCGGAATCAGTCTTGAAGTTTGACTGATGGTCTAGGAGAAGCGTCCCACACGTCTGGTCGTACATGGTCTCCGCGCTCACGGAGTTCCAAAATGGTTGCTCGGAGCGGGCAGCAGGCGCAGCATCGACGCATGCGGTGAGCTCATCGGGTTTGAGAGTGTCTAGAGTGCATGGGCGCGCAGTCTCCTTCTCCGGCGTGAGGATCTGGAAGGCAGACATGTTCCTGTCTTCATTCTGCGGGAGATCCTCAGGAGAGGCGGTTGCGTAAACAGGATGTGCGTAATAGGATGACACCCATGTTCCAAACACGATTCCCCGCATGCGCTCAGGAATCGACGCGTCCGAGAGGGGATGATATGCACCCTCCGGAGAGGGATATCCTAAACTACTGTAGCCGGTTTCTGAAAAAGGATAAAAATCACCACATTTAAACTAGCCTTGAGACATGCTAACCGTATATGAAGAATGTCCTTAGGTAGGGCTCAATCGCGTCGACCACATCACTCGGATACGAATTTAGATGACGAAGGAATGCCATTGCTGTCACGTTTCCCAAGGACCATCCCATCAGTGCAAGCCCGCCCGCGGTTCCGTCGGGGCTGGCGCGAGGAATCTTCTTCTCCGAGATGACATAGATAAGAAAACGCGCAATCTCGAGTCCGCGCGCTCGCAAGAAGTTTACATGAGCGTTCGCGTTCTCCCCATTGACGGCTTCGAGCTCGGTCTGAGAAAATGGTGTCGAGCCGACGTAGTCTCGCCGATTGAGCGCGATGATGCGTAGATTGTATTTGTGCGCATCCGACACAAGTCTGGAGAAGTTCTCTATCAATGACTTGTCAACATATTATCGATATGGCCAAGAATGGGATGCTCACGGGCATGATATGTGTGGCCGTGGATACACACGAGTGTAGTATACGTGTCGCTGGATGGAGCTCCTGAATCTATGTACGCGAACTTCGTCCCCGACTGATCTATCTGACCTGTCTGCATTGTAAGTGACGAATGAGATCACTGAAATACCATTGGTCGGGAATTGGTCGGGAGTGTAGGCTGGATAGGCCCCGTATTTAAAGCGCGGGAGTATCCCGTGATAAACTAATCTGGCTAAAATATGTATGAACTTTCTCATGTGACCAAACCAGTAGTCGTCAGATGATGTTGAAAACATCCAGATTAAATAATGAGTGGCTTGTCCAAATAGCTTGCCGATTGCTTGAGTGCCGTACATGAAGCGTCTCCGCGAAGTGTATTGTTGTCAAACAACATGATGACAAATACTGTACGCATCGTATACGTAATTATTGCGGAGAACAAACTTTTATTCTCAACGCCGCAGCCGCAGACGCGTTCCTCCTCACGCTGCACTCCCATCGACGCCCACAGCTCGCTAAAACCCAGAGCACTTTTATCACAACGGCATTCCCTCCAACTCCGGACTATTACTGTCAAATAGCTTGGAGATATCTAACACAATGTCTTCTCCTAATGTTAATAACAGGCGCGAAGTTCGTATACGCTCTAGAAACATCAAAAGACGCACCGATCAGAATCAGTCGGCGTCGCCAGCGCATCCCGCTACTCCCCCAAACAGCTCATGGACGAAATTCTCTCATTTCACAGAGCTTCTCAGCCTTGTCTTCATTTTCTGCCTTCCCAGTCGTCCATCTCCTCGACCCACCTTTGAATCAGCCCCATTGCTCCTCATACAGGTTTGTAAACGCTGGCGCGACGTTGCTCTGTCGACACCGCGATTATGGGCAAGCCTTGAACTGAAGGCCGAACACTCTAAGCTAAAAAGCGAGGCGATAGAGCAGTGCCACTCGGTACTGAGGCTCTGGACGCGCAGATCAGGTGCCGTTCCATTATCTTTGGTCATCATGTTACCAGTGCATGCGGATGATGACAAGGCTCTCGTCTCTCTGAGAGACTTGGTTTCTACCAGCCTTGCGCATTGCAGGCGTTGGTCTCTTATCGCTCTCCACATGGAATCACGTTGCATTGGACAGGTATACCGCGTTCTTGGTGCTCAAACTCCTTTTCTAAAATCCTTGTCTCTCATAACAAAATCTGGACCATCGGAGCCTAAATCCGAAACAATTACTTTGGACCTTACGGAGGCAAAGCAGTTGCAGAATTTAATACTCGGAGACCGTACCGAAACACCGACCTATAATGGAAACGTTATCTTGAAGAGTTTCCCGGTTTCACTACAATCAGCCGAATTTTGCAACCTCCATGTCCACTATAGCTGTCCCCTCGACACTACGCCTACTTGATATATGTGGGATTTTCACCCCAGTTGATTTCTTATCACTCCCTTCTAAATTCCCTCGACTCGAAAAACTTCAGCTTGAAATTCAAAATCATGTTAATGACGGAAGCTACATGCTCGAAGACTTGAGAAATCCAGAACTCGGGATAGTTCGATTGTCTTATGTCCACACATTCATTTTGGTATTTGGCAGACCGTGTTCCTGCAATGACAGCACATATATGTTGGAGCGTCTTTCACTTCCCTCCATCTCATGTCTATCTGTGTACTCATATGCCATGGAATCTCGACATGCATGGAGCCACTTGTCCACGAGTTCGCTTGGGACATTCCTCCTTCGCTCAAATGCCGCGCTGAAACAGCTGTCGCTCGATATGCCTTTTTCGGAAGCAGAGCTCGTAATGCTTCTCCAAAATCTGCCAACTCTTGAAGAGCTCTGCCTGGTCACACGTAGCGCGTATCAGAGCCTGACAGATCACATCCTGGCCGCACTGACCATGAGCGATGATTACGAGCCTGTCTGGCCAAATCCCACATATCCTTTTTTAGGGCTGTGCCCAATTCTAAGGAAGTTCTCGGTTTTGGGAATTTCGCGAGAGTCGGGAACGAGCTTCTCATGTCTTGGTGTCATCGCCATGGTGCTTTCACGCTTCCAGCTATGCACAATAAATGGCCCGATCCAGAGTGTCCTGACGGATTGCAAGCTGCCATTGAGATCAGGTGATGAGCAGCAAGTCTTCTCAGATACACGAATTCAGACGTGCATAAGGGAGAATTTACGTTTGAGGTACCTTCTCGCAGTGCTTCTTTAACTTATACTGAGCTAACCTTAAGCTCGCCTGTTTTCGCAGTATAACGGTTATTTAAAATGCTGGATGCCGTTCGACGCCGACGGTCTGTTAGGAGGCAACAAGTTATTCTTGTCAATATTTCATCTCTTCGATCTCATTCTGATTTGTGTAATAGACTTCGATTCGCTAGCCTGAAAAGCTCAAGTGATACAATGTTTTCTCCACTCCTCAGTCTTTTATGAATACGGTGAAGGCTTCGTTCCGTGACTTTTCCTCCGAGATATCGCACTTTGGACTGTTTTTGGTTCATTTGCATACGGCGAGGTCAGTATCGCATACCTTTCATTTGAAATTACCTCTTCTAAGTCATGACCACTGAACTTGACAACAAACAGCATATGTTATCTATAACGACGGAGTGATCTAAGCCCGCTGGCGCGTTCTTCCCATTTCCGACACGATGTGTGTCCGACCGGCCGACGTTTTCACATTTCCGACTTTCCCAACTTGTCGGAAAGTCGGCTTACGTACTTCAAGAGTAATAAGGGTTGGATCCCTGTCGAACTGGTACTGTATAGTTTTTATTATGTAATCCGACCCATTTTCACTGCACGCCATTGCCTTTGTTGCCTCAGTATCTCTGACAGCAACAAAGGTGAGTATATGTGTCTCCTGTATGTATTTAGAGTATCTCTGACAGCAACAAAGATTACTTTGTCCTGTTTGTCTTGTAGGCTCAAGTGTTGGCACTCTCTGGGTGCCTTCCAGATGAAAGAACATAGCTCAAGTCCTGACCCTGGGACATGATCTTTTGGTTATCATCCTGTCCTCCATGTATTCCAAAAAAGTTCTAAATACAATACTGTAACCATAGTTTATCATTGTTAATGCTACTCAAGAAAGCAATATGTAAAAAAAGCCAAAAGTTTTGCTCCAAGCAAGACTCGAACTTGCGGCTTCCAGATCACTCTTCGAGTCTGAAGATCATAACTAAGTATGAGACTGGCACTCTAACCAACTGAGTTATTGAAGCTATGAATTATACTGTGCTTTTCATAAATAATACAGTATACGACACCTCCTTTAGACACCCGATCAATTGTTGCCCTCCTCTAACACATATAGCTACTTTTTGTTGAAACAAAATCATAGAATGAATGCCAGATATTCCAGGAGCATTCTGTAAAATTCCTGGGACATTTCGTTCACAGGATCAATAAAAATATAAGTTTCACGGAAACACGGTTTTTGTCACGCCCGCAGGTCCTTTAGACACCTGTGACACCGTTACAGATGGCGCGTCAAGAGGTGGATTTCACTGGCGACGCGCGTCGGAAAACCTTGTCGGGGTCACGCTCAGATGCAAAATCAACAGTTTCTAGTATAACCTGCTCTGTAATTTCCACTGGTATCTCAACTCAAAAGAATAAAGTGAAGTGTTTCCTATGCTGTATATTTGAATGCAGTTTGTAGGACACTTGGTGATATCAAATAATCAATAATCATAGTTTTTGAGTGCATTATGTTGAAGAAATGCCAAATTTTGTACATATCCTGCTCTCAAGAATGAACCAAAGAATTTTTTCTTTTCAAAATATATACAGGGGTAGAGCACGCTTGACTGAATATGTGTATCAAATTTCGGGCAGAAAGATTGAGAATTAAGAGAGAAGATGTGGGGTGTCTAAAGGACTAACGGCGTCTAAAGGAGGTGTCGTATACTGTACCAGAGTCCTGCTGCCGCATGCGTCTGACCATTTCGTCCCGCCGCCATTGCTTTCAACGATGCAATCTCGCTACATCTACTCTGAGCTACTTTATTTTCTTTCATTTTCGCTGTATTTACTACTCCTTAGCAAATATATCTTGTGTTGTGCTGTGGTGTCGTTGTTGCTTCATGGCACGTCGTTCCTACTGGTCGGAGGCAGAAGACGATGAGGAGATTGGGAACTCTGCAGATGGTTAGTGGCTGATTTACGTGAAAATAGGTGTAATGCCTATCCTAGAGCCCAGGGAAGAAGAGGGGGACGAGACACACTGTTTGCACTGGCACGATGCGGACGGGCTCAAATTCCAAACATTTCATTTTCGATTACTGTCATTATTTGTGAAAAGCGCAGCAAATGAGTTAGAAAAGTAGTGATTTTGGGATTTGCACTTTGTGTTTGCCAATCGAGTGATTGCAACCAGCGAGTAAACGACGAACTTGACCGGGGACCACGACCATCTTTATGCCGTTGCTTGGGCTAATCGACGATATCCTGCTTATTGTGCTAGAGTATCTGAATGTGCAGGAGATACTGCTAATTCGTCAAGTGAGAGGCTCACCGACACTCTCAGGCTCGTCTCACCGATTCTGACGGGTCTGCTACAGACGTGCACGCGTCTGCGCGCGCTGACCCGCCTCCGCTCTGTCTGGCTGAGCGCTTGTGCCCGCCATGTGTTGGCAGTGCGGCTTCCCTTCCCGTGTGGGCGGATAGACGACCTCAGCGCGGACGAGCTGGAGCGGCGCACGCGCCGCGCACTGCGTCTAAAGGCGGCGTGGGCGGCCCCAAAGCCCGAGCCGCGTCGCATGTTGTCTTTCCAGGGCGGCCCGCTGAACGGTCTCCTCGACGTTCGTTTCGTCCTGCGGCCGGGGCACGAGTGGATTGTCACGCTCTGCGAGGGGATTTGGCCGAAGCTCGTGTGCTGGGACCTGCAGAGAGTCGGAGAGCGCGGGCCGACGAAGGTCGGGGAGTGGTCTTGCATGGGCGCTACTATCAGGGACGTCGTTGTAAACTCGGACATGACGAACGATGCCTGCTTGGTGATCTCGGTTGTGCAAAACGGGTTCGTCCCTTTCTTCCGAAAGCAAATTATATTGTCAGATTGTACTGGATGTGTACAGGCGGCAGAGGCTCGAGGTGCAGGCAATCCAACCCGTTCCTGGGAATTCTCGTGTGACGTTCGACACACTCAAGACACTGCAGACGGCCTACAAACCTGTCGCCCTCGACGGAGATATCCTCGCCATCAGCAACGAACACACCGAGACGCGCATCGTAAACTGGCGGTCTGAGCACTACGCCATCCTCCAGAGCACGGAAGAGACAGAAGACGAAACGCTGGTGAGGCACTTCAGCAGTTCTTGCGCCTTCTGCTCGGCCGTCTAACTACACAGGTACCAAGCACGACAGATGCCTGCAGGTTCTCGTCGCACACGCGAGCATCCTCGTCGCGCGCGCGCGCTCCGTCGACCTCTTTCCGATGGCCGATTTGCACCCGCCCCACGGATCCGCAGCCCCCGCCAGCCGCCCCGTCGCAACCTATTCGTTTGGCTGGATCGACGGCATCGCGCTCGCGCCCGTTTCTGAGCGCACGGCGTACCCGTACCCACCGCTCGCGATCCTCATCCGCGCAGAGAGCGGCGACCCCTGGGCGTCCGACATCCACTCGCTCAACCGCCACATCCTCCTCCCCAACCCCGACTTCGCTCCCCCCTCCTCCAGCGCGTCACGTAGCTCCGATGCGCTTCCAAAAACGTCCGGATCCGGATCCGAGTCTGGGTCTGGGGCTGCGTTGTCTGCGAGCCCGTACGTCTTCCCACCCGCGCTCGCGGACAAGATCCCCGCGACACGCGGTTTCCTGCGCTGCGCCGCACTCGCACTCGGTGCGGGCGGCTCCGCTTTGTGGATCCGCCCGCGGCCGCGCGACGCCGCGGAGGCGTTCCTCGCGCCCACGCAGATGCTCTGCGGCGCGGTCTTCCCGGGTCCGCTGAATGGGGAGGGAAGGGTCGCCGAGAGCGTGATTAGCGGGGGTGTGCGCACGTTCGAGGTGTATAGCGACTGGGCGCCGCGCCCCGCGACGTGGACTGCACTGGACTACGTTGAGAGCCGCGGATGCATCGCGCTAGGAGCGGTGGACGGGCGCGTCACAGTGCTGTTCATGGCTTGAAAGAAAGAAAGAAAGAAAGAAAGAATAAAATAACTGGAGGACCGGGGCGGTCTCCTCGTTTACTTGTTTGGATTATACGTACAAAATATACTCTTCGCATCTAACTGTCTAGTAGTCTATTGGGATAACGGTCACTGCAATACTATGTCCACTCTACCATGGCTTCCGCAGGCCCCTTATCTGCGCGCCGTACTCCACGGCACGCCTGCCCTCAATCCACGCCATCGACTCTGTGTTGCTGCGTCAGTCTCTGATTTACAACATTAGAATCTACGGAATGAAACACACCGGCATACGTCTGCGGAACGATCGCGCGGCGGAGTGGCTCTCCGGCGGGCTTGACCTCGCCCCAGGTGAACTTGAAGTCGTTCGTGTGCTGCTCGGTGCCGGTCTTGACGTCGAGCACGCGCGCCTGGACGAAGACATGCTTTCAAAAGGCAAAAAAGAGTCAGAAATAAAGCAAAGCTCGGGGTGGCGCGCGGAGACGTACGATGACGGCGGGCAGCTCCTTGTCGCTAGTGTGCGTGACCAGCGCGGTGAGGCGCAGGAGCGAGCCGATCGGGACGGCCCGCTCGAACCAGATGCCGTCGAGCGAGAGGAAGCGCAGATGGCGCCGCCGCGCGAAGAGCGAGGCGTTCGCAAAGCCGAGCTGCGTGCGATGGGTAGAATGGATGAGAAACCGAATGGGGGAGGGGAGGGAAGGACGTACCTCGTATGCGAGACGCATGAGGTAACCTTCGAGAAATTGTTAGACTACAGTCCCACTGATATTAGGATAAGGACGGCACCTCCAAACACTTTCTGATGCACGCTGTACACCGCTGATTCAGTACACAAATAAAAAATAACAGCGCGTCGAGAAGACGCACTTGCGCTCCTGGGGAAACATGAGCATCGTCTTCTCGAGCTTCGTGTCAGCCATCCAGACTTTCTCGTGCGCGTCCTCGCCTGCGCTTAGACTAGGCGACTGTGATTGCGCCTGCGGGAGGCCACTGAGGTAGACGTCGTGCAGCGCCTGGGCCTCTTCGCTCGAGGGGGGCACGCGCGAGAGGGAGCGCTGCGTGGCGAGCGTCTTGCGGCCTTTGTGGGCTGGAGACCAGTTGAGATCGGAGCTCAGGTAAGGAGCAACACGCTCACCTTCGCCGATCGCGAGGAGCGCCTCCTCCTCGGGCGTCTCTGCGACGAGCGGGTTGACGGCGTGCGCCTTATGGTTCTCTGCGTTCCTGCAGACCATCGAGAAGCGTCCTGGTGCATGTGTCAGCGACGGACGCGAGAGACGCGTTGGTGCGCACCTAGCATTATGGTGAGCTCATGGCCGTCCGGGCCGAGGGCCTCCATCTTGACGGCGATTTCCATAGAGCTGCGGCCGGTGTAGATGACGTGCCCGCTTAGGCGGAGGTCGCGGACGGGATGCAGCGGGGCGAGCATATCCAATCTAGAAGAAACGTTTGTAAATGCGTTGGAAGGAGAGAAAAAAATCTAAGAGGCGAGAATCTTCTTTTGCCGGTGATACGAGGCATAGGCAGAAAAAAAGTGTGTCGTATTCGAAAACAAAATCCCCAATGCCTCTTGCTCCGAGCACTCACCTATCGACAGCAGCAGTCACGATATAAAATCCGCGCTCTTGCACGCGGCCGAGGGTCTCGACGCTAGGGCCCAGCATGTGCTTGTAGGCGATGGAGCCGGCGAGGGAGTCGAGGTGCTCCATGAGCTTGCCGGTGCGGATGCCACCCCAGGCGTTAACGTACTGCTCGAGGAGGGCGGGCGACGAGGCGAAGGGCAGCTCGATCTGGGCGTACGAGTCGTGCATGCGGCGCGGCGACGTGTCTGGTGCTCGCGCGGGGGGCGCGGGCGAAGGGACCTCGCGGCTGGAGTCGAGCAGCGACTCGGACCAGAGCGAGCCGGCGCGCATGGGCATGATCCTGAGGGTTTCCGTAAGCGCCGTTCTGAGGAAAGAGAGCGGGACTTACGAGCGGTAAGCTGGATTCGAGCGGGAGCCTGGCACGGGGTTAGACTTCGAAGGGCGCAGGTTCACGTCCACTCACGGATCTGGTTCAAGAGGGTGTCGATTGTGGTGACATTGTGCGTCTCGACTCGGGC